CACGAGGTTCCCGCTTAAGATCAGGCAACTTAAAACATCAATCACCTTTACTGACCCCTGAGAAATATACCAGGGGTGTATGTGTGTGTGTGTGTGTGTGTGTATTGATATATTTTTTTCCTTATCTCTATAAGTGAACTCCTTGGTAAATTGCTCTGTTTTACCTATTATTACCTACTTTGCTCTTGAAAACTCAGACAGAATTAGTTAAACATCACTATGTTGACTTTGCTGCTGTTATTAAGCAACAATTACCCACTAATTCTCACCCTGATATTTTATATCTAACATAGTCCTTATTATTAAAGACTATCCTATTGGATATATTTATTTAGTTTGTTATCAATCAGTTATTTATTAACCTATTGTTTCATGTCTTTCTACATCACTTCTTTCAAGATGGATTGTTCTAACTGAATGTATATTGCTTTTTGCAGTCCAACTGATTCTGACTCACAACAACCTTATAGGACAGAGTAGAACTGCCCCATGGAGTAGAACTGCTGTAATCTTTACAGAGCCAGAACATCAGGTTTTTTCTCCCACAGAATGGCAGGTGGGTTTGAACCACTGAGCTTCTGGTTAGCAGCCAACCACTTAACCATTGCGCTATCAAAGCTCCTTGAATGTACATAGGATATAGAATTAATTGCTGAGTACATTTTACATAAGCACTTCTCTGTCTTGTTTAATGGTTAAGAAAAATGGACTACACAGACTTCAAAACCTTAACTTTTCTCTCCCTGATTCTTGGTAGGCAGAGTTAAATTCTCAACCAGCTATTATGTTGCATTTTTGATAGGCCATACCTTTATGCAATTTATCTTCATAGTATAAAAAATACTTTCCAAAGATAAAGTACATTTAGTCCTAAAGTTTCTCATCTAAAATCAACCTTTTCCCCAGTAGCAAAAAAGGAAAAGAGATTTCTTTCAAGAATGGAAAGTTAAGGAATAAAGAGAAGAAGGCATAGAATTTCTGTATAAGTGATTTCTCAGTCTGTTTTGCATAATTTATGTCAGTAGAGTGATTCTTGTGAGTAGAGACCTAAAGTAATAAAAATGAGCTATAATTTATCCCTTATCACTGTTCTGCATGTCTTATAGATATTTAATTTATCCATCAAATCTACCCATGGAGGAAGTAT